ACATGGTTGTTTACCAGAACTGCACTGAAACAATATTGGTTGGTTGTTCCTATTGCTACCCTATTATGCAGGGTTAATAACCCCAAGAGTTTCGTTTCCATTGAAATAATCCACTGAATTTACAAAGAGGACACACACACACACACACACACACACACACACACACACACACACACACCAAATTGTTTGCTTGAGGGTGTCCCCAAATGTGACAAGAGAAGGGTTCCTATGTTCACTTAACAGTGCATCTCACAACCAAAGCTGTCCCAACACACCTCATATTCAGTTTGATATGTTTAATTTCTTGCTTCTAATTATACAGGAAGATCTATTTGATGTTCCAGGAGGGCATCAATTCCTAACCTCTCTGTCATCCAGCAGACACCCCCAATCTCTCTCCAAACACTGTCATGAATGCCCAGTCCTGCTCTCCTTGAAGCCGACAGCAAAAACTCCAGTTGATTTCAGTGCAGAATCTGAGCCAGATTTACATGTTAAAAGGGACCGCCAGTTCTAGCACTGTCTTTTAGAATGGCCTTTCTGTTTCTTTAAGAAGTATGTTTGCATCTCTGTGGTCAACATAGCTTCCCCTCAGGTGGATGGTGCTAAAATTGAAGTGTTGTACACAGCCACAGGTGGAGGGAGATCTCTCACCATCATCCAGCCCATTCATTCATTCCTTTTTATCTCTTCCAGATGATTCCTGTTCCTATGAAAACATGGTGATCGGGGCATCCAATAGCCTAGAGTCTGGTAAGTGTCAGTTTTTTTGGGGTGGTTACTGAGTGTGTTGCCATAGGCAGAGGCACCCCAGTCATGGAACAGGTGCAGGTCCCTGGTTGCTTCACCTAAAGTAAAGAGGACTCATTTACTCACATCACATAGACCTTTATCCCGCAATGGGCTCCATAGAGGTTGTTCCCCGTGCTTTCATGGAATCCAGTTAAACTCCATGGGGCTCTGCACAGAGTTCATTGCAGCATCAGTTTCAGTGAAGAAGAGAAGGAATTCTGCTTATGAACATCTGAGAAATTTTACCCCTGGAATATTTTTTCCCAATAACTTTGGCATTTTCTATTAGATGGTAGGTTAGTAACATCTCTGAATCGGGTCACCTTCAGCGCTGCGCTGAATGATAACATTGGGCATACCATTTTAATGGGCATCAACAGTCAGGTCTAACCATGTCTGGGGAAAAAAAAAGAGAAACCAGGCACTGAACGAGGAGGTAGATGAGATGGGGAACACCAGACAGCGGATGGGGGTTGTTCCACATTAAAATGAACAAATCCACAAATAAGGTGTGAGATTCAACCTTACTGCATTTTTGGAGGGTGGAAGTAAGAGATTTCACAGAACTGTTACCCATTCTTACTCCACTTGCTTTCATTCCTCTGTGCACACTTTTCTTGCTCACAGATGACACCGAGGACTATGAAAATAGTGCAGCGTTTAAGACATGGCAACAATCACATGTGTCAGGTATGTTCTGAAACAAATCATTACTGAATGTTTTTATGGTAGCAGCTGAAGGCCTCAGTTAGGACTGGGGTCCCATTTTGCAAGCTGTTGTGATGATAGATGGATATGGGCCCTGCCCCCAAGAGATTTTCCTTGTACTTTTCCTGTACAGTCATGATAGGAACTTTTAAAAAACGAGTTGTACGTTGTTGCATATATTAGCAATGATTTTGAGTACTAGCTTGGAATCTTTATGGCTCTGGCCTTTCTGATATTCCAAGGGGCACACACAAATGGGAAGGTGTAAAATTTGGTCCCCTGGCAGGCCATTACAAGAGACCATCTCCTCTTCTTTCAGACCTTCTCGGTTCTTAACTCTCCATGCTGCAAACTCTTCCATGCTTTCTGAGCCCAGGAACTGAACAAGCAACCTTCTTGGTATGTTACGTTCCTGGACTCTGAAGCTCCCTGACGAGCCAGCACTAATTATGTCAACATAAAAGCCTCGCTTAGGTTATCTTTCTAAAACAAGAGGTTCAACTGGATATGAGGCGTGCTGGGACAGCTTTGGTTGTGAGATGCACTGTTAAGTGAACATAGGAACCTTCTCATATCTGATTTGGGGACACCCTAGAGCAAACTGTTTGGGGGTGTACGTGTGTCCTGTTTATAAATTCAGAGGATTATAATGTCTCTGTGGATCTGTTATGATCTATCCTAAAAATCTGCTGAAGGAACACTTGCAAACTGCTATTATGTTCAGTCTTGAAGACTTTCCCCAAGGAGTCATGATGCTGGGACCCAGGTATTCCTTGGCACAGACAGAAAAATATCTGCTAAGGAACATACAAACTGATCTCCACAGCAAGGGTTAAAAAGGTGGGCAGGTATATAAAGGTATGTCGAACAACATTTATTTATCAGTGCTTTCAATTCCCAATAACAACTCTCTATATTTAGAAAGCCCAGATGATGATCCAGATTATGTTAACTCAGACATTGCAACTGTGCTGAACTAAAGGTAAAAATAGAAGTTTGATGCATTTATTGTAAACCAAGGGGTGGGAATGCCTCAATTCATAGTCAGTGATTTGCACTTAAACTTGATTCTACAGCAAGATGGCTTATGCCTGTTTTAAAAGCAAACATTGGAAGGAGCGAATCTCTATATTGGCAGGCTCCAAGGATACAGGGAAGATGTTGCACGTATTGATAGATCCATAATCAAAGTAACTGCATGACAAGTACTGATTGCCCCTGTAACAGGAATTAATCTTTTTGGATCCGCTAGCAAATATCTAGCGACTATAGAACAATCTAGATCAGGGCTACTTAAGTTTGGAAGCCCCAGGGGCCACAATGATACACACTGCACATGCCAAGGGCCTCAACATAAGTGTGCTTGCATATACATGCAAATATATGCAAATAGCTTCTTTCACATGGATGGGCATGAATACAAAGATTAAGGCCAGACTACACAATATACAGGTCCCATTTAAGTCAGTTCTGCTGATATAAATAAAATGCAATACTTACCCGATTTCCACCCACATGACAGCACTTTTAATGAGCAATGACAGTCCAGGAATTTAACTAAGACACTAATTAACAGAAGACCATTATATTGACTCATCGTTGTACAGTGTGTTCCCAGTGAAGGCTATGTTCAAAGGATCCCACCGTGGGCCGCGTGTTGAGCCCCGTGCAAACCCAAACTGCACTGCAGGCCACAAAAAAATGGGCCGCATGTTGAGTAGCCCGGATCTAGATGATCCCACAAATGAAGGCATGGCAGTGTGAAGGTTAATTATCTGTAGTACCTGGATTTCCAAAGCAAGTAGCCCTTGTATGTCTTTATAGCCCTTGTAAGAATATAGCTAAGAGATACCAGGAGTCTGCTAGACGTTAAAATGCGTAGTTGTGGGAGCGAGAGTTGAAACCAGAACAGATTTTACCTTTGAAGATGCTGTCCACATTTCAGAAACACTTCACAGCTAGGTGTCGCTGTTTGCAAACAGAAGCACAATCACAGTTTTTCATTAGTGATTATTGTAAAAGTGACTTGAGGTACGAGAAATTGGCTTTAGCGGAAATTAACTTACGTTTTTCTTTTTGGTGTCTGTGAAAGTTATACTGAATTACAAGGCATTACTTTGGACAAATGCAAAGGGGAAATCAGATCTATATGAAAGCAGAGAAAAAGGCTACTTGGTAACATTCATGAACAATTTTCATTTAAACTCCCCCTTCCAGTGGAATTTCAAAGAGGGAGGGGATTACATTTTTGAGAGAGTTTTAGTCTAGTGGTTTTATTATGGGACTGCGCAAGTTCCAGTTTTCGCTCTGACAATGTCTCCTTCAGTGCCTCCATTTTTCTTTGTAAAATGGTGGTGCCTTTCTCATGGGGCGAGGCAAGTATTAATTAGACCTCTGTTAAGTATATTACCTATAAAAAGCCCTGTGTAAATAGTCTCATGAATCTCAGGTAAGCACTCAACACATCAGCAGTGTTACGCAAACAAATAGTAAACAGCACTGCATGTTATAAATGACAGTGGGATTGGCCATATAAATATACAATCTACACTCCAAAAGTTTTGCCAATTTAGCTATACCAGTGAGCTTACCTACTGTAGATGCAGATATACTGCAAAAGACTGCTTTTGCCAGCAGAGCTCATACTGGTTCTGCAAACAAAATAAGCTACGCTGCCAATAGCATTTTTTGCTTTTATAATGCAACCACATGAGGGTTTTTGCTGGCAAACCAATATTGTTAAACAAAATCACCCCCCTGGCCAACATAGCTATAATGGAAAGGGTTTCTACTATAGTCTTTCCCTTAAATGGATTTTCCAGGAATAATTGATTCTGAAATTATCTGGGCTCCTGGCATCCATTCTCTTTCAAGTGCAGGAATCCTCTGAACTGGCATTCATGCTAAAATTCGACACTCTCCGCCGAGGCCTGAACAAAGACTCCAGCTATCTTACCCATTACAAAGATAGCTTCCCTAGTTATCACCTCTAACACTATTAACTCACAGACATCTACCCTTCCCCACCTCTAATATCATTAACTCACAGGCATTCACCTTCCTTTCCCCCCCCCTGCATCCGCCTTCTGTTCTGAAATTTGATTTGTTTTTTTAAATTGTATCCTTTGGTATATATGGCTGTGACTATTTTCTTTCACTATTTGATCTGAGGAAGTGGGTCTGGCCCACGAAAGCTCATCATCTAATAAACCATCTTGTTAGTCTTTAAAGTGCTACATAGTCCTGTATTTTGCTTTAGCTACACCAGACTAACACGGCTACATTTCTATCACTATTCTACATGCAAGAGAAAAACCTGGCACTGAAAATACAATGTAAGCAGAAAGAGTTAATAGTAAGAGGGGAGGAAAAACAGTGAACTCACAATCTTTCTCTTATTTCAAGGAACCTCTTCTACAATCTGTGGGAAGCTATTTACAATGCTACAGAAGTGTATGTTTCATCTTGAAGATTGCCACACAAGCAGAGCAGAAAGGGGTCCTTTGATACACAAATGTGATGGAATAACCTGCCCTCCATACTCTGCCAAATGTAGTTAACTAACATCAGTGCACACTGCTGAAAATAAATGCATTGGATCCAGATGTCCCACAAAAATACAACTAGAAAAATCATGTGGAAGAAGGCCTCTTCCCCCCAACATGTGAATATCAGCTGCTCACTGCAGCAGTTCCAAGAGAAATGCCAAGGTTTTGTTATTCTATCATATTTTCCTCCACGTCCATTCAAGGGAGTGATGGCTTGTCTGCTCAACAATGTTTTCTGCCGTCAAGTGTGAAATGAATCTTTAAACTGCTGAGTAGCAACACAATTGATGGTTTAACTTGCCAAACTGACTCCTGTAAGGAGGTATTAAAGCTGATGGATTATATTTTTCATTTTGTTCCCACTATAGCAAAGCTCTTGGACAGACACTGCTTCTAAAAGAAGGATCCAACCTTCCAGACAGATGCCAAGTGTTTAGAAAGGGCGTAGTTCTGTATTGCTAAGTAATAAATGGAAGCACTCACAAATGGTAAAGGACCAAAGGACAAACAGGATCACTGCAGCTACAGATAATATTCCGACTCTCTTTCCTTGTGTATTTGAGATGGATTGCTGTAAAATCCATAGGAGTTGAGACAGCTCACAGAGCACTTAGCTCATCTTCACCCCATTGTCAGCCTCAGGAATTGCACCCCCTTTTCAGAATTGCTGTAGAGAAGGATGTCGGTGCTAGAACTCACACTTCGCAGCTGATGATCCATGCTTCAGTTATAACTGTGTTCATGAGCATAGTGTTTTACCTGGCAATGTTCTAGCATGCACTTGCTAAGAACATAAGAACGGCCAGACTGGGTCAGAACAAAGGTCCATCTAGCCCAGTGTCCTGGCTTCTAACACTGGCCAATGCCAGGTACTCCAGAGGGAATGAACAGACCAGGCAATCACCAAAGTGATCCCTCCCCTGTCATTCAGTCCCAGCTTCAGAGAAACAGAGGCTAGGGGGCCTATTCCTGCCCATCCTAGCTAATAGCCATTGATGGACCTATTCTCCCTGAATTGATCTAGACTTTTTTTTAACCTTGTCAAAGACCTGGCCTTCACAATATCCTCTGGCAAGGAGTTCCACAGGTTGACTGCACATTGTGTGAAGAACTACGTCCTTTTGTTTGTTTGTTTTTTAAATCTGCTACCTATTAAATTCATTTGGTGACCCATAGTTCTGGTTATGGAAGCAAATAAATAATTTTTCCTTGTCTACTTTCTCTATACCTGTTATGATTTTCTAGACCTCTGTTGTATTTCCCCTCCCCCCCCAGTTCCTCTTTTCTAAGCTGAAAGCCCATTTTATTACTCTCTCCTCACACGACAGCTGTTCCAAATCCCTAATCATTTTTGTTGCCCTTTTCTGAATTTTTTCCAATGCCAAGATACCTTTTTTTTGAGCTGAGGCAACCACATCTGCACGCGATAATCAAAATGCGGTGTACCATGGATTTAGATAGAAGCAAAAAGATATTCTGTCTTATTCACTATTCCTTTTTTAATTATTGTTTGCTTTTAACTGCTGATACACATTGAGTGGATGAAATGCATCTCCAGGCACAAAATCAAGAGAGAGGGTGAATTGCATCTCTGTGCACAAAATCAAGGAAAAGCTCATGCACTATTTCCATCTGGTGGTGGTTTGCTGCAAAGGGCTGAACTTCTATGTAGAGTGAGACAGAACATTCAGGTAAATGCCTAAAAAGGGAATTCTATTAGAAATGCAATTTATGTATTGGAGTACCTGTCACCTGCTAGCCCTACTTACTGCTGGAAACTGGTTCACCAAGCTTTTATACTCCAGTGTGAACAGGTACTCTCCACCTCCTAGGGAAAAAGGGTCACACAAGCAATTTCCTTGCTTTTCATACCAGTGACTAGAGAGAAACTGGTATAAGGGTAAGAATCAGCTATGGACTGGAATGTATGGACATGAAACTTTTCCTACTACAACTGATTTCACTTATGAAATTTTGCTCTGAGTCTACGCACATTGAGGCTGTGTCCAGGCTCAGGGGTTTTTTCGAAAAAAGTACTTTTTTCGAAAAAACTTCACCTGCGTCTAGACTGCAGCCGCGTTCTTTCGAAATTAAATTGAAAGAATGCGGCTTTTCTTTCGACGGTGGTAAACCTAATTCCACGAGGAAGAACGCCTTCTTTCGAAAGTGCTCTTTCGAAAGAAGGTGTTCTTGAAAGCAAACAGGCTTTTTAGAAAGAGAGCATCCAGACTCACTGGGTGCTTTCTTTCGAAAAAGAGGCTTGCTTTTTCGAAAGTTCCGCGTGCAGTCTAGACGCGCTCTTTCGAAAGAGGCTTGCAGTCTAGACATAGCCTGAGAGTTAAGGCTGAATTTAAGCCTCTTTGCAGATATGGATTTAACCCTTCATTTGTATTTGACACACCAAAAATCACAGCAAGGTGTCCATTATTCATGTTTCTGAAAGTAGGAGGCCAATCAAGCATTTTATAATTGATTAGAGAAAAACTTAATTGCTGCTCCTACTAATGGGTCTATTCCAAAAGTCCGCATAGAGGATGCAGGACAGGAGCTTTAATGAAGCCCATGCTGGAAAGAGAACAGCTGTAATTTCATGAAAGGGATACACCCACTCAGTTTTAGAACAGGATTTAAACATGGTTGGTTTTTTATCTATACAAATCTCTTACCAGTTTGTATCTAAAGTTATACTTTCTTTTCCCCCAAATAATTTTATTCTTTGCTATGCAAAAGACCCACACAAATAAGGAACATTGACAATTGGCTGAAGGTGGAATTTATCTCTGAAGAAGTCCCACCCAAGGGTTTGCAAACTATTAAAGTCCTAATTAGAAGACTTAACCAGTGCATAGATCTTGTTCCGAGTCTTGGCCAAAGATGAATTTAATCCAAAGTGACTAACCAGAGAAAGTTCTAATGTTTGTTACAGAAATATTGTGTTACTTGACAGACTATGCAAAATGTTATGTGACTGGTCATGATGGAAGGCCAATGTGATACCTGTCAAAACTGCTTCATTTTCGTAAGTGCTGGGATGAAGGTAGCTCAAACTGCTATTCCATTTTGAAAATGTTGGTCTCAGTTGACAGAGAAGTGCAGCTGTACTGTTGTGCCAGTTAAGAATCTGATCTTAACAGCTGGGAGGGGGATGTTCAAATACTTACAAATTGCCTTGGTTAGAATTAATTAAGGAATAGAAGTCTGAATAAGTTCCAGGGTTTAAATAGGTGTCAGGCCAGGACAATTTAAGTTTTATTGTATCCTGTGTTCAACAAGGTGAGATGAATATACCAAGTAATATTTCCTGGGACAGTTATGGAAAATAGTTGTTTTCCAAACAGGAGTTCAATGTTGTATAGGGTGTAGGAGAGTGAAGGCCTGTTGTGGATGAGGGGTGGTGCATGGAGCCACTGCTATGCATGTCAGATGTTTGGGGGGGGGGCTGCCTTGGCTCTGCTGCTGTGGCATTGGCTATCCCCCCCCCCCCCCCCCCCCCCCAGGGTTGGTGGGGCTTGAACCCACTGCCCTGCATTCCTCTGACTCCAAAAGCAGGTACCTTATCCATTGAGAGAAGGTAGGCAAACCCCCATGTTCTGGTGGTCCTCCGTAAAACGAGAGAAATCTTTTTAGTTCTGAAGCACTTTACAACAAGGTCACCTTTCATTCAAGGATCGCAGTGTGCTGGAACATATCCAGGAAATTTTACAATAAATTATATTCAAGTGATTAGAATTATACAGTGTGGCTTTTAACACACTCCCCCATTGCCAATTTTTTCTTTGTCAGTGGTGGTACACAAATCATAGAATCTACAATGACAGGCTCGTTGCCTTTTCAGAAATCTTTAATTTGTAGGTGTTCAGGGAATGTACAATGCTGCCTGCCAGTGAATGGGAGTAGCATCTAGCCTATGAGTTCCAGGGAAAAGTGAAATAGCTCAAAGCTGAGTACATTGCTAGCCACATCTTAATTTTGTCCTGGTAGATACTTCTGAAAGCTGCTACTGGTGGAAGGAGAGCAGGTAGCAGCTGCTACAGAAGAGGGAGTCACCCTAGATTCTAGACATCAAAAGCTGCTCTTTCCTCTATGTGAACAGGGGAAATCTACAGCTGGGAGATCTCAGTAGGGACAAAGACCGTGCCAATGAGGGTTTGGCCACTGTGTAAATGGAAGTACTTGAACACCTGACTAGTCTGCAACTGTAATTTGTTTCCGTTGCTTCTCATATAGCCTGTAGTTAATGCTATGAAAGTGAGGACTCATTGGTTCAGTGCCTCTCATGTCTTGCTCATCTGCCTACTCTGTTTAGAATGTAAGCTCTTTGGGGCCAAGACTGTGTTGGTACAGCATGCAGCAGAATAGCTCCAACCCAGATTAAATTGTATTTAACATGTATAGTTTATTATAGTACTTATACTAAAGAGTTGCTACGTATATTGAGAATCAGAAGTCAGTGAGGATGTATACAATTTGATAAAGACTTAAATAAAACACTTTGATTATCTCTTACTTGCTTGTAGTGCTGTCTTCATTTGCATTACCAGCCAAGGCCTAGATCGCGTGTACCTGAACTTTGGAAGCAAAAGCCTTGTTCATAGCTTCCCTTTCCATTCCACTGTACAGAAATACCCTTTCACAAGAGGAACGTGTCACATCATTTGGCCAAACTGACTCAACTATTTCTTCTTTACATCTCAAAATTACAAGCATTTCTTAAGCTAAAATCCCTACAGCAAATGAGATTTGTGTATACAGTAATTCGCTCAGCTGTAATCTCTCTTCAGTGAGCAGGGATATACAAAACACAGGAGAGTGAGGCAAGACATTTTTCCCTGCCTACAAAAACATGACCAAATAATCACCAGCAGCATCAACATTTAATTCGCATTCCTGTTGTGTATCCATAATTTCTGTAAATTGCGAATTTGAGGTACACTTGAGGTATTTTAACATGGTTCCGTTTCCAAAAGCCTTCTGGAGGCTTTTTGGAGAGGCGGGAAAAATTCTTCACTCCATATTTATATTCTTTTTGCAGTCCATAGTTACTGCTTATGAGATGAACAACTTAATTTGAACAGCTTGTTAATTACTTCTGAATCTGAACGTGGAAGGGGAGATTAGATGTCTAGCTTTTAAATTAATTGATCCTACAGGCAAAAGATCATGCATTCTTTATTTCTAACAATTGCTATGTTAACTCAGTTCAGCAAGAATTGTTTAAATCTAGAATAACAGCATCTATTTGGGATGTTCACACACTTGAATTCTGACAGTACTTCCATTTTCAGATGTTCCAAAGGCAGTATACAAGGTAAGGAGATACTTCTGACTACATCTTGCTTTACCAGGCCACACATTTTTGTTTGTTGTATTAAAGGCACCTAGTGCATGGTTTTCCAGTTATTCACGGCACAGGTATAGCTTAGATTGTAGCACCTGAGCAATGCACCTCAACACTAACCTAGTGAAATCATGTGTGGCAAGAGTGCACGTCATTTTCCAGAGCCCATTACATCATTGACTCCGATCATGATCAGTTGTGTGATGTATACACCTGTCCAAAATTCAGACAGTTTCATTTCACAGGTCACTGAACAGCCATTTGCTGTTAGTCCATGGCTGTACTGACTGGAAGTTATTTCAATAGACAGATTAGGACAAGGGGTTTTAGTTCTATTGCTAATCACTTGTACTCTCCATTTCTACACCACCACTTTTACATCACAAATACAACTGTTTTCAATGGAGTTAGTTTTATTTGGATTTAAAAAATTACAAGCAATTTAAAAACAAATGCTGGCTGTTATTGTCAGGTTCAGCAACAACAAAGAATAAAGTTCACCGACTTCAGAACGTA